GGGGGCTCTTGGCTGAGGGGTCTGGGGGGAGGGGTCTCCTGGCTGCCTTGTGAAGGTGGGAAGCACCTTCTTGGTCCCTGCTTGCTGCATGGGATCCCACAAACCTAGTGGGGCAGGAGCCTGGGGAGGGGGCTGGCCTCTGAGACACCCCCCCCCCGCCTTTGTTTGTGCTGCCAGAGGATACCTAGTTGGCTTGTGGGTGGGGAGGGATGTTCAGGGCTTTTTTGGCCTGACAGTGGCTAGAAGCTGGGAAAATCCTCAGCTGTGGGGAAAGCTGGTTTGAAAGGAGAGGGGTCACTCCTCTGGCAAGGGAAGGGGGAGCAGGGCTGTGACAGAACCGCTCTTCCCAGCTGCCTGCAGCCTGACACTTAGCCCAAAATGCTAGGCCTTAGGCAGGTTTCCCTGTGTACCTGAGGGCTGAAGGCAAAGACTTGAGTTTTTAGCCCATTATGGTGATCAGTTTCTCTCCTCTTATAACCTCTGCCCCACAGATGTTGTGAAGATGAGGCACCAGTGGCACCTGCCATTCGGACAATGGGGCCTTTCTGCGCCTGTCACTGTCCACATTGTTACTGGGAGAAGAAGGCTGTAGTGTAGCAACTCGCTCCCAGAACAGAAGCGTTACAGAGTCTGATTTCATCCTGCGCTTGTGTATTTATAGGAGCTTTTCAGGGTTGTTTGTCTGCACCTGGGGAGGGGGAGTGCTTTTTCTCTCCATTTTTCAAAATGTGGCTGCACATCACTTAAAGCACACAGACGGCAAAAGAGGACTTGGCATCACTGAGTGTAGTCGGTCCTGTCAGATAATTACATTTTTTCCTAATGTATATTTAAGAGTAAGGACTATGGTGATAAAGATCTGCTTATCTAAAGCAAAAAACAATTTTGTTCTTTGGTGTTGTTCAGTTTTAGTATAGGTTATGAGACATCTCAGAAGTACTTATGATTAAGCTGTTACTCTGCTTTCATCATTCACGTGTGAAGTGTATTACTTTATGTATGGTTTTACTGGAAGTTGACAGACTTCCTCCTTGTTCTTTCTTAATTTAGTGTGCCTTTCTAAACTATCATAAGCTGAGAAAATACTTGATTTGCCCTTCAGTAGGTTCATAGAGTTTGCCTGTGTCAGGTGGTATTAATAATCCATCAGCTATTATGTAATCAGAAGAGCATTCCTTTCAGTAATTGTTTTTACTGTATTTTAACACTCTCTTTTTTTAATCTCCTTTCTTATCAAACTAGCTCCAGGATGCTTGTTCATACTTTTTTTTTTTCCAGCTTTTACCTATTGAATGGTCTCTGTATGATTCTTGTTGTTTCTAATCCCCACTTCATTGTCTTCAAGAGCTCACAAAAGTGTGAGGGAAGTTTCAGAATAAACTAGAAACAGACAAAATGAAAAGATGATCAGATGATTAGCAAGTTTTAAAGGGTATATATCTTGATATTACCTTAGTTTCTTAGTCTTGTCTTCATATACTTGAACTGACTGAGGTGAGAAGTGCCATTGGTTTAAGCATTTTGCAAGATTTGGAGCTAGAGGCTTAGTTCAGGGGATAGTGTAAGATTTTCAGGGAATCAAATAGTGGAGGGTATATGAGCTGAGGCAAGCAGGTTGGTATAATACAGTGATTCTCAACCAGGATGCTGCAGCTGTGATTTACAAGATAAACCCCAAAGTTACAGATAGGAATCCATAGCGTTGAGAACATTTCTGACTTGTGGTCTTTATGGGTTTTTTTTTTCCAACCGAGGGGTTTGCTTTCTTATTTTTTTTTTCCCATTGCTAAAAATGAGTGAAAGTTAAAAACTTTCATCTTCTGAGAGGTGCCTTGATTCTAAAAATGTTGAGAACCACCAATCAAATGAGAGAATACTCTCTTCCCACCCCCCTGCAGTGTTTTTATTCTTTCTCTGGCCCTAATAACTCCAGATGGTTATAGCCTGCAATGCAGTTTTAATTTTGTCCTTTGCTTTTATTATTATTACTTATGTGAAACCTAGAAAAGCCTAGTATTTTCAAATGGTCTGTTTTTCCTGTTAAAAACAAAGCAGGGGGTGCAAGAGAGGGCAATGATGTTTTAGTTGGTCTTTGTACAAGAGTACAAGTCAGTGCAGAGGGTGTATGTTATAGCCATGTTGGTCTAAGGACATAGGTAGACAAGGTTCTTTGGGTAAATCTGATATCTTTTATTCAGCCAACTCAGTTGGAACAATTCTTCTCTGCAGTCGGTGCAGAGAAACTTTGAACTAGCCTGTGTACTTTAAACAGATCGACTATATTACACTGCGAACACTCCTCTTCTAAGAGGCTACTTAAGTTCTTTTTGTGTAGGTAACTTTGTACAGTAGCTTTGAAAAATGGTTTCACAGCATTGTCTTAGTGCAGAAATTTCTAAGCATGCATCATAGTAATGGAAGTACAGATCTTGCATGTGGATTTTCACCTTCTTGAGCTCTGATCTGCATGCTTACAGTGAGGACAACACTCTTCCTGCCAGGCCCGTGCTGAAAGTTATTGGACAGTAACAGGAACACACCTTTTTTTTTTTAAAAGAGGGGCTCTTTTTCACAGGTATGATGTTTCAACATGGAGCCAGGAGGAGAGCAACTTTGCTTTTCATTATTTTAACTGTGTGCATCTGTGTTTCAGGAAAGTATATTGTCAGACTTTGAGCTATGGGTTACATTTTTAGCAATATAGGTTAAATTTAGTCTGATGCACAATAAATTGTTATGTTGTATTAAATCAGAGAAACTTGAATCTGTTTGTCACGGCCCAGCACTAAATGAAGGATAATGCTTGGTTTGAGCCACACTATTCCATGCATCTCCCTGATATTTGACTATGTGCCTAAACCCTACTTTTTATTAACAATATATTTCATAGGAGTTAAAAAGAGGAAAATAGATCACTTCCTTGACCTAATATTAGGGTTTAGTCCCTTTTCTTCTTAAAAGGCCTGTCAGTAAATATTTTTAGTGGCTTTGTTCATTTACACACGTGAATTCATTAGGACAGAACAAATGCATTCTCATACATTTCTAGTCCAAGTAAGTCTCTCAAGAGTCTTGATGACTAGAAGATTGAAACGTTGAATCATTTGCACATTTAAACAGTGATGCAGGAGTTTATCCCTGCACCCTGGAGAACCTTATACTCCCTGACTTACAAGCACACTTTATCTATCCTGAGGTACAATACAACCATATGGATCTTAGGATAATTCTAGTGCTGTTTGGAATGGTTACTGCAGCCCTCTCTGTTCGTACTCCAGTCAAACTTCAGCACCCTCTTTGGAAACCAGTGTCAAGTGGTTCCCTGAGTGAAATCAGTGCTGTGGTGGTAACGGGTTGTTTGTGGTAATAAATTATGTAAGCTCTCTTAGATTCCTCTTTCTCTGAAGGATACAGATGCAAATAGGTAATTCTATAGCTATCAGTTGCTTGAAAAGAAGTAATCTGTCACCAATCAAAGTCCTTGGCTGGCAAGCTCTGTATGGCTTCTCCTATAAGAGGTCTAAATAGACTCTTATGTAAAATGGAAAGTTTCTGTGTGTTTTAAAAACTGAGTACATAAGACAGACCATAGATACATCTTGCCCAGTATCCTGTAGCACAGTGGTTCTCAATGTTCTTCTTTTGTACCAGAACACATCTGTAAACATCAATGGCCAGTCCCAACCCAGTGCCCCTCACTCCCAACCCATTGCCCTCCCCAGTTGCCCAGTTTGTGGGGCAGGGGGGAGGTGTGTAGGGCATGGGGGGGCTCCAAGCAGACTGGAACTCTGCCAGCCAGCAAGGGAAAAGCCACCACCACTTCCCACCTTTTTCTCCTCTAAAGGAGAATCCATTTTTAAAGTTTGTTCATGACCCTTTCATATATTCTCATGACCCACTTTTGGGTTGCAACCCACAGGTTGAGAGAGACTGCTGTAGCACAGCGTGGATATTGAAAGGAAGAGTGAACTGCATATGCCCAGGGTGACTTTTACCACCTCTTTCACTTGCAACTTCCAGTATTTAAGGTTTAGGAAGTTCTGATTCAGAGGTGATGTACCCCTAACTCCCGGACTAACCATCTACAGATGCCCTCTTCCTTCAAGAATTTGTCCAATCCCTTTTTGAATCTGGCTAAGCTGTCTGTCTGGCTAAACAGTATCTTATAGCAATCAGTTCTACACTTTAACTTACACCCTGTATGAAAAAGAACTTCCTTTTGTTTGTTCTAAACTTACTACCTACAACTTTGTCTTGATTTGGCTTTTTAGTTCACAGGCTGGAGTTACTTTTGGCAAGAAAGTTGGTC